TTATTCAAATATCAATACAGTTCTAAATTAGCATGAAAATAATTGACATTTTTATTGATTCCTTTTATTTATAAATAGAGCATGATTTCTGTTTTTTCCAATTCTTATTTTATACCTCTGAAGTATTGTTTGGAGTTTTTAATAATATCAATCCTGCTTATTTCTTCCTTATTTTTTCTTAGGCATTTTGTCTAGTTGTGTGTGTGATAGAAATTATAAGTGCTATTTTTTTCTTCCCTTCTAACTGGTTGTTGTTTTTAAAGAAAATGGCTATTGATTTGTGATTAGTAATTTTTATATACCCACCATATCAATAGCTAGTTTCTGGTTGATTATTCATTTACTTTACATAATTACCCTTCTCAAAGTCATTTATTTTTGTGTTTTGTAAGTTTTGAGAGACATAGAAGTGTAAGCTTTAAAGGCTTACTTCCATCTCAATTCAATTCAGTGCCATCAGTTCATTAATTACTGTGTTAAATTACTGGTGCAGTAGCCATAAAGATAAGTAAGTTTACAGACTATTGAGGTGGATATGCATGTATTTGTATGCAACACAAATTTGCTATAAATGCTATAAAAGAGACAGAGCTGGCCTCCAGAGTTTGAGTTTTTAAGAGGGAGTAAGGATCATAAAACAGGACCTTAAGGTTGTATAAGATTTTGACAGCCAGAGATGCAGGCATGTGTATGAGGCAATACAGACAGGGGATCAACAAATAAAAAGAAAAGTACAATGTGAGAGACAGGACTATGTGGTGCACATTAGGGGATGCTATGTGAGTCAGTTTGGTTAGACTAGAGGGTCTAGGAAACAGAATCAAGAGATAAAAAGCAGCAGAGGTAGGAAAGGACATTTATTATGCTTACATTCACTATGTCGGGAGATAGGGAGTCACTGAGGTTTTTCAGCGAGTTAATTTATTTTATCTGTCATAATCAGAGCTACACTTACAGGAAGAGTAATCTGATGTCAACAGGGCAACAAATGGTTTTGAGCAGGAAGGAAAATCAGTGACAGGCAGTCTGGACAACAGTCTAAGCAAGAAATAAGGGCCTCTGCTAGGATGCTGGCCATGGAAATAGAAAGTAGCAATAAAATGGAAGTGACGATGTGAAAACAGTTTTGACAAGCTTTGACAACCGATTAGATGCATAGCTAAGGATGATGAGGGAGACAGTGACTCTCACTGGCTGGTGGTATGGTGATGTGATTGGCAATAACTGGTGAGTCAGAAAGGGCAACCATCAACGTGTAAAGAAAAGGCAACAAATTTGATTTTTGTGTATTCCCTTTGTTATAATTATTGTTATTTACTGAGTAGGAACATTTATCTTTGTTTGCAAGTCAAAACAAATATTCCTTTGTAAAGGTTTAGGATTAACATCAAAGCACTAGTATTTCCTTCAATTTAGATATATTTTGCCCATGAATAATTTAATCAAAATTTGCAGTAAGTTTGGTTCCCCCATTTTGAAGGAAATGAGGGATAATAAAAAATAGGGATATTAGTAATAGTGGTAATGCACAGGTGTAAATCATCAACAGGAGATGATGACAAACAGGTTTTTCCAGTAAGCGAGGCATCTCCAGAGACAGAGTGCAGAGGATGGTGTTCCTAGTCACACGTATGGGAGGTGGATTTTCCTAGCCTTGTCCCTTCTATCCAGGCTTTCCTTGGAGATACCCAGAAGAATCTCAGGAAAAACAAACTAGACTTCTGTCTGTGTTCCCTCTGTGGCAGATGAGCTGCCACACCAGCCACTTCTTCCAGAGGAAGGGGAGAGTTGAGCTCAAAAGCCAACTGTGACTGAGAGCCTATGAAAATGGTCAACAGATGGATGAAGGGGCCAAAAGGTACAAACTTGCAGTTATAAAATAAGTCAGTCCTGGGGATATACTGTGCAGCATGGTGACTATAGTTGGTACTATTGTACTGCATAATTGAAAGTTGCCAAGGGAGTAGATGAAATAGAAGCAACCAAAGTGTCCATCAGTAGATGAATGGATAAAGAAGATGTGGTACATATACATGATGGAATATTAATTCAGCCTTAAGAAGAAAACAAATCCTACCATTTGCAACAACATGGATGGAGCTAGAGGGTATTATGCTCAGTGAAATAAGCAGGCGGAGAAAGACAAGTATCAAATAATTTCACTCATCTGTGAAGTATAAGAACAAAGCAAAAACTGAAGGAACAAAACAGCAGCAGACTCACAGAACCCAAGAATGGACTAACAGTTACTGAAGGGAAAGGGACTGGGGAGGATGGGTGGGAAGGGAGGGACAAGAGGGGAAAAGGGGCATTACGATT